TTGTCTTGACCTCACTACATTCACAGTTCTGCTGACAGCATGCCTTTCTGAGTTGTTTGATTCCCTCTTTTATTCTAAAAGCCAACAACACTCAGAAATCCATACATTTGTTTACATATTTAAACTAAGCACAAAAAATACCACTGTCATTGTGTTTGTCTATAATTTTCCTTTTTGTGCATGGGGTTTGGCATCCTCCACCCTCTCAGAGATAATCCACTGAAGCAAATGGCTTCATATTACTCCTGTGGCAGATATTGTTTCAAAGAGAAAATAATCTACACAAAAACTTGAGCAGGCCATGTTTGGCGTCGTTGAGGATAGTCTCGCCACTGAGTCGGTGAAGGTAACATCAGCAGACAGTATTTGTGGCGAGGGGATGAGGCTGCACCTGGGTCCTCCCTCTCTCATGGCCCTGGACTTACCGTAACAAAGCCAGTCCTTTAAACTATCAAAGAAACATTGTGGGCTTTGTTGGCGAGGCAATGAATTACCATAAAGAAAGTCCCATTTGGGTGGGACTTCTCATTTTAAGACTCAGATGCTGCTTAAGTAGTTTAGCACAGTCAGGGAACAGAGAGGGTTGAACAACTCTGCAAAGTGATGATAGCATCAGTGGTTTTAGCTTTTTGCTGCAACATTTGCCAGGTCAACACAAGTAATGCTACAACGTAATCTAACAGGAGGCGCGCCTAGCATGCCGTTTTTTGATTGGCCAACATGGCACCTTGATGATGTAGTATTGCGCTCCAAACACAAAGCAGCCAACCTGTTGCTAGCAACATTTGCTTCGTGGCTAAGGTGGGGAAAGTGTCACAGAGTTTCACCCCGAAAATGTCCTTCTCATGGGATCTATTTCTCATGGGATCTATTGGGCATGTTATACTCACATTTTTCTCATCTGCCATGCGTGCTTTGCAGCAGCTACTCTTAAGCCCTTGTGCAATGCAACTGCCTCTACAGTTAGGGTGAAGAAATCAAAGATACATTCATGATAGCTGGGATTGAATAAAGACATCTCTGGCTCCGTTAACCAGAAACAGACAAACACATAAACACTCAAGCACAGCCTGTCATCGCTAAACTTTATTATTATTTTGAGCGTTTATTCTCCCAGCATGGCGGCGGCATGTTCCCAAAAGATTTAGTTGTACTAAAGATTCCAGGGATAGATGCAAAACACGCTGCCCGTGGTTACAGATCTGAATATATCCATATATAAACCACACCATGACTGAGAGAAACAAGTTTATACCGGAGAGCAGTTAAGAAATCCTATGTATTTTTTTGACGAAAGGCGCCGTCGCAACCCTGTCTTGTGTCCCTTTGGACACGCTTATTTTACAGGTGGTTGAAATGTATTTTATATATAACTCTTTTGTGGAGCGCTGCTGCCACTGTGTGCTGTTAACGTGGACGTTCTTGTTCAGGCTAAACTGTCCAGGGAAATTAAAGTGTGACTCATTTTTGAGAGTTTTCCCGCTGCGGACTAAGGCGTATCTTATTTACCCGAGGTTCATGTGATGAAGCATCTACTCCAACTACAATAACTTACATTCAAAGGTGCCCAAAGAAAGAAACATTCTTTTCCTCTCAATAGCTTACAGTATGTCCATCACTGTCTTTCGGGTAACATATTAATGTGCCTGTGATACATCAACATATATACAAAAGAAAGATGCTTTGATGGTAATGTTCCAATATTGTTGTAATTTGTTATTACTGTGGATATATATAAATAATCCAAGGAAGCTGGAATGCCTTCACTGTAGGACCAGCTTGAAGGGTTAAGGGGATCTATTGGCAGATACAGAATATATCATATCCACTATTATGTTTTTAATTATGCCCTGGGGATAATTATCTGACAATTGTCAAGTTTTTGTATCTACGCATAAAGTTTCTCATTTGTTGTAAGTAGCCCAGAAAGAACATAGAGACCCTTTCACACTTTTTTGTTAATGTGCCAGCAGAGTTGGGCAATAAATCAGATTTTATCAGTGCTGGTTCAAGACAGTGTTGAAGAATGAATCAGCGTGAATCATTCGTTGTTTTTTTTCCTGATCTACAGGTCAAACTAACAGGATCATTCTGTGAGGCAAAGATGGCCAAAGCTTCTGTTCTGTGATAAATAGGGAGCTGCTGTCATCTACTGACCTATTTATGTATTACAACTATAGAAATAGGAAAAAAAATTTACAGAATGTTTAGAAAACATCTATCACAGACACAAAGATATTCTAGAGTAATGGAAAATGAAATCCTAGCAGTAACCGATCTTTCTTGTGTTAACTGTATGAAACCATGACCACTCATCTTCGGCTGGCATTCTTAATCACACTTTGGACCCACAATAGCCTCCTGGTATCGGTACTTTATCACGGGCCATGCAGACAGTTCACCAACGAACCAGTTTACTCCTGTAACCACCAAACCATCCTCAGCCATTCGATTTATTTCAAATGAAAAGTGGATGTTATGGAGAGACTTTGAGGAAAGCTATTACCAACAAAAAGCCTCCCATGGCATAAAATATAGTCCTGGAAAAAACAGAAAATGTCAACTTTAAAGTATTACATTTCCTCTAAGATAAAAACCAACACATTGGATGTTTGTTGTTTGCGTCCCGGTGCTTTTCTTAAACAACTCAGTCTGCATCTCGGAGACAACCCACTCCACCCTTAAACCCTCGTCATCTCCATCTGTTTCTATTTTAGCAAGTGAGAAATCTACTTGCATCACCCACTGAGGCAGACAGGATTTCTGGCAATGCAACCTCCAAAGTATTGACAAAGGATGCAAAGATCAAACTATTTTTCAGGAAAATACAGAGAGGGACCTTGGAAAACCAAGCTGAGAGACATGTTTACTGTAGGAGAGGAATTCAGATTTCTCTCATGAAGTCTTATCATTATGGCTTCTAATCTAATTCAAATAGTGGTTTACTATAAATGTTTACTACATGACACATATACTAAGCACCTAAGCATTGGTCAATTCCATTTGACTCATGACTTATTTTAAATATAAAAGCGACTTACAATAAGTGCCTTTCAACCATAAGAATACAGACAAAAAAGAACAAGAAACAAAAAAAGTGCAATTTCATCAAATAAGCCGATCAACAACTTGCTAAAAAGAATCTTTTCCCGGAAAAATAAGTAGTTCAGTCTTGTCGGGTTGATTTTCAGATGGTAAGCGGACATCTACTGAGAGATGTCAGTTAGACAGGCAGAGATTCCTTCGGCCACCTGAGTGGCCGAGTGAGGGAAGGAGAGAATTAGTTGGGTGTCATTGGCATAGCCGTGGTAGGAGAAGGCACACGAGCGAATGACAGAGCCGAGAGTCGGTGTAGCGAGAGAAGAGGGGACTGACTGGTGGTGGTCTAAGAGGTTAAATTTGTTGTTTATGCGCGTAAAGATAACTAACGCAGACGGTACCAATTTGGCGGATGATGCTGGCGTAGGGTTCAAAAATTACACTCTGCTGCACCATGTTCTCCCAGGTCGTCACAATGCTAGGGGATAGACTCGTATCACAATCTTCAAACACATATCGAGGAATAATTGGATGTCCAATTAACGCCCTGTTTAGTAAAGACACAGCTGAGCATATGGACGATACTGTCAGGAACGGGGTGGGTGGAGTTCCTCATTCGCAGACTTGGAAACAAAAACAAACTTTAATAGTCAAAATTCAAAAAAGGGAAAAACGCAGACGGGCACCAGGAACAGTCACAACACTAAGGGAATGCCATCCAAGGTTGCACAATCAACATTCAGTAATGCCGCGACAAAGGACACATGACACATGACACACAGGGCTTAAATACACTGGGAGGTGCAGGTGATTGGACACAGGTGGAAACAATCAGACAATCACAGGGGATGAAAGGACAAGGCAGGAAGTGAAAATAACCCAGGGAGGCAAGGGGCAGGAAACTTTGTTTTTTTCAACCAATACCATATTTTTTTTTCACAAATTTAAATGTCTTTAGAATCATAATTGTATTTATTGTCTTTAAATACACATTAACATGAATCCAACATAATGTAGCAAAAGGATAAATTGATGGAGAAGACGGTATCTTTCAGTCCGCAATACATACATTCAGCTACCCACAAGAGCTCTCTCAAGCTGGGCACCGGTTCATTCACAGCACCTTTCATGCAAATACGACAGCACAGGCACTAGCCAATCAGATCGCGTTTATGCTCACATCTAAAGAGCGCAAAGCTCAAAAATAAAAGATAGCTGACCAAACTCCATAGAATAAGGGGTCCCTGCTCCATCTCGCCATCAGTTTGGGGGTCTTTGGCATGAAAAACGTTGAAGACCCCTGCACTAAACAATGTGTCTATCTTGTTGGTGAAATGCCAGACTTCATCAATGGACACAATCCTGCACCCCTTTCCCACAGGCTTTTGCAGCTCAAGTGAGACTCACACCCCCGACAGTTGACTGTCTCTCTCGCTGTGAATACACTCACTCATTTTTACATTACATTACAGGTCATTTTAGCTGACACTTTTCCAAAGCGACTTGCGTTAGTTTGGTTCAAAGCCTCTGCACACTTGCCACCCCGCGGGAACATGAGCTTGTCATGACATCTCTATGGTAAGACGGAATGAATCAAACATCTGGGTGGGAGCACTGTGCACTGTATGAGGCCAGAGTGATTATCGATATATTCAAATTCCTTGACGATAATCTGGAGATGCCCAACAGGATACTGTTTTTTTCCCTGTACAGTTGGATACAGACATGTCAAATTATAGTATCTGATTTTTTCATCACCATCATCGCTGACCTTATGGTACAACTTCATAGCATTTGTATGCCCACAAAAGAGAGCCTTTCTCAAATCCATATGTAGCAGTATAAAGGTGCAATTAACACTTTTGGCAACTAACACCAGGTGGCTGCAATTAGGTGGGCCGGTTTAAAAGTGGCACGCCTCCACCAGCTCTACCTCTTGCGCCTCTATTGTGTGAGGTGCGTCATTTCCGGGCGACTAGACGCGTGCGGCGCATTTGCTTCGTGACTTGGCGTTGTGGATACTATCTGATGGCTAACCCTAGTGTGGTCACAGGTAAATGCCAGCGACAGCCAGTGTCCCTCCCTCCCTCCTCCTGTGTGTAAGTGTGTGTCCTGGAACAGGTATGTGTGTTTTTATGTACGCGAGCAACCAGTTTTACTCTGAACCACTAACTGCACTTTTTCTGTAATTAGGAGTTGTGTTGATCAGCAGGACTGGGTCGCTGCTGTTTTGTCTCTAGTGAAGTTTGTGTCTCCATGCACTCGTCTCCGCTGAAGCTCCACCTCCAGGGAAGCTTAGTCTCCGCGGCGTTCTCCTGACAGCCTTTATCTCCCCCCCTGGAAGCGTTGTCTTACCACACTGCGCTGTGTAGGACTGCGTGCGGTCTGTCTGCAGCTTGGTGTGCCGAATATCGGTCGCCACGCCTGGCATCCCCGCTTCATACCGGGCGCCAGATCAGTTCCTTTTTAAACCCTTGTCACGTCTGTGTTTTAACCAGGGCTGTGTCGCTTTTGTATTATTGGCTGGATGTTATTTTATTGTAATTTTGTAAATTGTTTTTGTCCTTTTTTTTTATTTTTTATTTTTAGTTGCTGGAGACTGGTGGTGGTGGTGCTGGTGGCCGGGTGGTGGTGTCCTACCACTTTGTTTGTGGTGTCCTGGGAAGCGGGTTCCTCACTACGTCGGGTGGTTTTGAGTTGTTTTGAGTTTGTTTTCTTGATTTGGTGGGTTCCCCCCACCCCCTCTACACCTAGCGTTGTCCGTCCACCCAGCTCCAGCCCTCAAATTGTTCTAATTGATTAATAATAATAATAATAATAATAATAATAATAATAATAATAATAATAATAAACTTACCTGTGGGCCTTGTACCGTCCAGATTATTTCTCAGGGGGAAATTCCCTGAGTGGCGCTGTTGGTTTTTTCTTTAGTTTTCATTCCCCTTTTTCACCCTATCCTCGCCACAGACGTTCATGCTTTTTGTATGTGGCCATAAAGACCTGTACAGGAGCGCTGGATAGTTTTAATGAGGCCCACTCACACTCACATCACAACAACATTCAAACCATGTCGACTTTCATGTCACACTGTATGTGACACCTGCATGGAAAAAACATCCGGCAAATTCAAAGTATTAGAGAATTATAACCATCCACATAGAACCGAGCGAACTGCTTCTCCCCGAGGTTGAGATCATGTTTGATCTCAATATTCTATGTTTGAGCCACATATTCAAGCTACTGCATAGAAACATCATGTTTTACTCTGTGCTGTGTATGCCCCTTCATATGTCAGAGCCAATGTGTCCCTTGGGAGAAAAAATGTTCTGAACACAACCATACAGCTCGACAAAGCTGTGTGTTCAACACACTGCAATATAAACGTTGCATATCGGTTTACTTATGGTATAGTCGGGTCTTATGTTTGGTAGCAATACTGACATGACTCCCCAAAAATTCTTTATTTTCAATCATGTGTGGTCCTTGTGTAAATATAGACACTTTTTCTGTGGGTGGGGGGTGTTGTGTGTTTTGAAGCATTGCAGACGCTCACAACCTGCCGCATGGTGCAAAATTAGGATTTTACACTCCGATGCCTTTCAAAAGCGTCTACATCAGAGAATGAGACCTTGTGTTGGGGACCGAAATTCAATGACCTAGTTGTGTAGGATATCTTAATTTATCACACTGTCATGTCTGGGAGGATAAAATGTGCTAGACAAAGAGAAACCGAGATTGTTATCCCTATTGTCAGGTGTGTACTGAAGACAAACATTTTTGATAATAGCTGATCATAAGTGTCACAGTTTGGGTTAATGTCTGGTTTTATTTTGTAGTTTCTTGCCTCTGCTCTCCCTGATGACTCCCTGACTCCCAACACTTTCTCTCACCAGGTATGGTATGAGAGGGAATGAGACCGCCTACAGGTTGGAGATTGACCAACTGGTGACGTGGTGCAGTCGAAACAACTTAGAGCTCAACGCCCTGAAGACAGTGGACTGTAGCCGACCCCTCTCACCCTGGACACAGACTCTTTGGCTCTTCTTCCATCTGGCAGGATGCTGCGGTCCATCACGACCAAGACCTCTCACCACACAAACGGTTTTTCCCGTCAGCAGTTGGTCCGAGCCCCCCATTGACTTGGTCAATGTCTGTGAGATTAATGTTTCTTAAATCTGAAATACGTTGTTATTTCAAAAGGTTTGAAAGAGGGTATGTCTCTCCTGGTAACGTTACAGCTTTCCACCACCGCATCATCAAGCCTCCCAGATGACTGAGGAGCAAACTCTTCCCTGGACTTCTCCGTCCCGCTAGATGTCTGAGAAGCCAGAGGTCCCTACTCCACTTGGTTTATACGCTGGTTAAATGCTCAAATAGCGGTTGGTATTATCTCCGCCTGTTCATTAGAACGGGAAGTTATTGTTTGAGGGATGCCACTCGATGTGTTTTCACTCATCTGCACAGATACATTATCTTTAGCAACAGCAGCAACAACATTGCTAGCTTCATGTACCCTCCTCGCCAGTGCAAATAATCGTTTAAGGTCATTCTCTGCGCTCTGCAGAAGGATCTGATCCTCATCAGAGCAGTCGTTATCATCAATCACATGATCTTGCCCACAATCCTCAGTACCACATTTCAAAACTCTTCTGGGTGGCGACATTTTACACACACGTAACAACCCTTTATGACACCAAAAACGCTTACAGATCTCCTCGGTTAAATCTATTTGTGAGTAGTTCAATGATAGTTGTACTGGATTTCTTATGTATTGTCATATAATTTTTTATGGTTCGCTGGGTCTCGTCCTGTGCTTGTTTCATCGATCCATGTACAGAGATCAGTCAGGAATGATAAATTATGGTTGGAGCGGTCCAAATCCGGGTTCTCCTTTTAATAACTTGGCATGTCGGTTATTTGAGTCAGCGTCATGATTCACGCTCATTTGCGGAACTATTACTGGGAGTCTTGGCACATTCTCTTCGGCATTCGGTACAACCAGCACAGCAGGGCCTCTCTGCTCACCTGCGGCCTCCTGTTCTCACACCCTCTACAGCGCCTCTTCGATGGCCTCAGCACAGCGGAATAATGTGTCGACGTATCTTGGAATAAAAAGTTCAGTCCCTTCATTCAGTATAGACGACGCCACCACAGCCCGTCTGCGGCATAATAAAAGAAAGATGTTTAAATACATGTGTATATGCGCAAATCTAAAAATATACCTCAATTTGATACACACCTTTTAACCTTTTTTCAGTCTTTAACCCCACCCACATTTTTGGGAGGAAACCATAGACCTTTGCAAATAAATTTGAAAGTTATATAAAGTAAATAAAGAACAAACATGTTATAAAAATATTATATAACACACTAATTACTTCATTACCTCCCCAGGATGCCTTGCTCGTTGAAGCTATCGCAGGCCTTTTTACTGAGGGTTCAACCCACGTTGGTCCTTTTGTAGAAGACCCTGCACCTTTTCGAAAATATTTTACAATGTTATATGAAGTAAATAAAGAACGAAAAGGTTATTATATCACACTAATTACTTCATTTTCACCTTCCAAAGAGGCCTTGCTTGTCGATTGTGGTTGTTGTGGAAGGCTACTCAATGCCTTGTTGATGATTTGGTTGATTTGTTTTTCTATTTCTTGAAGGTTTCTACTTTTGGTCTGCAGAGCTGTTTCCCCACATATTGTAATTAGCTTTCCGCAATCTTTAGGATTCCGGTTGCAGCCGATTACTTAAAGATCTGTGCATGCATGTAAATACATTTTCGATAAGTTAAAAAGAAAATAAAACAATTAGAAATTTCTCGACCTCATTGATGCTCTAGGTAGTTAATCTCTTAACGCGCTTAACTCTCTGTAGCTGCGTAGTGAAAAGAAGTTTCACTACGCAGCTGTTTGGTCACCTTGCAAACAAGGTGACCAAACACCTGCAGCTTTGTGGGAGTATTTACGTACGATTTTACATGCAGTATACTAAAAAACTGTGGCGGCCTGGGAATTTCCGGTTAAAACACTTTCTGATAACACTTATATGACTGGTCATCCTCTCTGGGTTGTTTTGTCATTACTTATTACACACCTTTTATAACAAAATGAAAGGTTGTGTACTTTCTCTCAAACACCCTTTCTGATAACACGTATATGACTGTTGTTGTTGTTTTATCATTACTCATTCACCCCTTTTATAACATAATGCAAGGTTGTGACCTCTCTCACACACACACACAGGCTTATCTGATGGATAATGGCGGCACGTGCACACCCACACGCATGCACGTGCACGAGCATACCTTCCTACCCCCAGAATGTGCAATATTATTACTGCTCACCTTCCTTGGGTTGATAATCATCTCCTTGGTCTTGTTTGTATTCAGGGAGAGATTGTTATTATGACACCAGGCCACAAGTTCCTCCACCTCTCTTCTGTACGCCGCCTCAGCCCCACCAAGGATGATTCCAATTACCGTAATATCATCTGCGTCTGCTTATACGTGAGCTCTACTGATATTAATAGGGACGCAGTTATCATTAGTTCTAGACTTGCAGCGCTGTGTTTCCTAGATGTAGGCGGAATGCGTTTATATTATTTTTATCAGTATGTATTAAGAATACAATTATGGTGTCATTTGAACAGCAGGAAAGTAAGGATAAGTCTTTATGGGAAAAGCTGAAATGATGTAACTCATCAAAGCCAACATTCAGGAATCCCCAGCCTCACTGAATGGAAATGACAATATGTGTAATATCTAATCAGTTCAATCGGTTGCAGCGTCAAATCAAATAAGTGACGAACAAGTCCGTCCTACACATGCGTACAGGGGAATGGAGCAGCTGGAACAGATCAAAGGCGATTGCATGCATACTTGCTCAGGCTCCTCAGAGTCCCCTCCTCAATCCTTGATTCTCACTCCTCCCTCTTAATCCACATGTGGTTTGGTTTTTAAAGTCTTTTCAAGATTGACCAAAGTTCTTTTGAAATAAATGTTTGATTGTACTACCTGTCAGATTGCAAAGGTTAATGGTTCAAACCCTATTTAATTTTCTTATTTTCATTCCCCCAGATGTTTCACATCTAACTTTGTGAGTGATGTATGAAATATATAACTGGGCATAAATATCTTTACTGGGATTGAAATCTGTATTTCCTCTTGTGCAGGGCTTAATTTTTCGTCTTTGTTCTCCAGTGAAGGAAAAGCGAGGCATAAAAGGTAAATTATGCCTTCCAGCCATGTTATCCTGTCAAATCCGTGGTGAGTAGCGAGGCAGCTGTAGACGTAGATGTTGAGCTTCGACCGGGTGGGTTTCACTCACTTTGTAGCCTGTAATTGCCAATGACCTGGAAAACACCACATCGCAGTTCACTTCTAATTATCCCATGCATGCTAATCATCGAGGAGACACTGTAAGGGATGATGAGGGCTATATAAAGCTGAAACCAAGGCAACGTTGTTGTCTTGGTGCTGCTGTTAAGCTCAATAAATACCTCACACTTGGCACACACTTCTATGGTTAAATCCAAGGGAATTGAGGGACACGGGCATGAACTTCTACAAAGAAAGAAAATATGGAGGTGATACATGTAGTATTAACTTGTGTATGTCCAGGATTTATTTGATTTGTCCCTCCTCAAATACAATAATACAATTTCATCTTCGGATTCCAAATATCTTCATGAGTTTTAATTCCCTGAGCAGTTACGGCGTAATTATGCTGTGGTGTTGTTGCTTTCAGCTGAGAGGTGGCAGAAAATATAAACCAGGTGACTGACACTTTTGGATTTGGACCAGCAATCTTGCAACTGGGTTCTATCCATCTCATGTCAGGCTATAGTGACAGTTTATATTACAGTCTATATATATACATTATGTTACAGTATATGGTGACCAAACGCTACACCTCCAGCCACCAGTCTGTCAGGCTCCTGAATTGCAGATGACACCACCCTCATTGGACTCTGGTGGGAATGAGACCGCCTACAGGTTGGAGATTGACCAACTGGTGACGTGGTGCAGTCGAAACAACTTAGAGCTCAACGCCCTGAAGACAGTGGACTGTAGCCGACCCCTCTCACCCCGGACACAGACTCTTTGGCTCTTCTTCCATCTGGCAGGAGGCTGCGGTCCATCACGACCAAGACCTCTCGCCACACAAACGTTTTTTCCCGTCAGCAGTTGGTCCGAGCCCCCCATTGACCCAAATACTCCATCCCGGAAACATTATGCACTTTGGATTCTTTCACCATGCAAACATATGGACATACATATGTGAATACATTTCTGTTTATATTGTTAATTCTTGCTTGTATATTTGTCTTATTTTACTTTATTCTTTATTGCACCAATGCACAGAGTCCTCTATATGTAACCTGTGGCAATAAAAGGCTTCTGATTCTGGTTTTGAGCAAATTTGCAACAAGTAATTTTTTATCATAGTTACCAGCTGTAACTTTAACCACAGTGGCCAGATCACATGATTTTACTTTTGGAAGGAACTGTTACGATGCTGTCCTCTGTTATTGCTATCGATGACAACATTCCAACAGGCATTCATGAAGCGTTTTTTTCTGAACAGGTGCAAAAACATGTTTTTTATCAGGGAGCAGCATAAGCGGTCTATCAATAGTCTATCAAAGATTTATGTTAAGTAACATGTGTCGTTGTTAGAGTGAGGTGGTCCAGCAGTAAGGACACAGCTGGGATTTACCATGCAGGGACATTTTAGTCTGCGAAGTTAATGTTTGTTCTGCATTTCCTGTGGAGAATCTCAGTCAGAGAAAAAGAAAACAGACTTTTCGTGATGTTAATAATCACTTTGGTAATCACTGGTTTCATCAACTCTGCAGTCTTGAAGAGATTTAAAAAGAAAGTGTCTCAGTAAGAGTTTGCTACCTATCTCTATTATTCCATCTCAGCCTGTTTGTCTTTCCGTTTCGATTCATGCTCATTTAAACGCTGCCTTAGGGCCGCCGCCAAATGCTCTCATTGGTTGAGACACGTGATGACACAACTCCCAAGCCAATACTGATAATCATCTCCCCTCCTGTGACCCTGGTCTCTCTGTATTGTGTATTCAGAGCCAGTGAGCAACAGGCTTTCAAAAATATATATTTTTAGTAACATATATATACATCAGAGATTGGATTTTAGCTCTTGGCTCTCATTTTCCTTCACCGTCAACCTGTTTGTCAGCTTTTCTAGATCTTGCTTCAGCTTCTGCAGTTCACTCTCATATAATAACACATGGGGTGAGTTACTTCAAAGATAGTAAAGACTTTAAAGGTAAACATTGTATTTTTTTATCCCCACATGCTGAATGTGATTTCTTGTAACATAATGCACCTAATCGACTTTTACCGTTTACAAGACACTCCTGTGTCAATGTGGATCAAAGGCTCTCTATTTGTTTCAGATTCTTAGTAAGGCAACAAACAAGTATTTGTGATATAAAGGCAGCAGGGTAATGTCTAGCTCAGGAAAGAGAAGCAAAGAAATGGCTCTTCCTCAGTGTGTAGTGTAACCTGAACTTTTCTCTACCTTGTCCAGCTTGCCATCGCTTGCACTGTTGGTCACTGTCAGCTGTCACCATGTTCAGAGCTGCATGGACACTCTAGATATGATCAAAGTGTCTCATTGAATAAAGCCATCCAGCCTTGTTTGGAATCCCCTGCCACATATACGCTATATACGCAATATACGCTGTATATTGTGAAAATAGCGTGTATAAAAAGGAGCGCGATTGGAGCTCTGCCGAGATATACTGCCCTCAGCGAGTGTGACTCATCACGGAACCTGCAGTCCTCCGCTCCCTCCTGTTCCGTCCTATTATCAGCTGTAATGATAAGCCACCGTCACTCCATTTCAGCCTTCATTCAATGTGCATGTTGCTGGGGTGAGATAAGTTGTCAGCGATTTGAAGTGAAATAGCTTGAAACTACACATGCCTATTTGAATATAACACACATTTCTAGGTGTATGTGTTTGGTTAAATGGATATTGCATCCTGTATTGTTTTTACATGATCTACGCTTAGAGGTTGAGAGCGTTTTTATATTCTAATATCTCTGTGACGGGCACATAGCATGTTTATGAAACTATTTTGTTCTCATCTTCGCCAACATACTTGTCAATGTCCGGCAAGTAAACAGCAACTTTTATTAAGTAAACAAGATAGATTTGTATTGGTCTCCTGTCCCTCTTCCGTTACTGAAACATGAGTCACTGCAGAGGCCTCAACGTCAAATAACAAAGCGTGGTCATTTTCTTGACGAGCAACAAGTGAGTGCTGCCTTTTACTCACACAACTCGGACCCCGCATGGCATGTCTTTTTAAGCCCGCCTTGCTCTGTCAATTAATTGTTTGACACTGAAATGAATTGTATGTTTTTCTGCCTGCTCATCTGAAAATCATTTTTCTCATTCAACATTCGAATGTGTAGGAAAGTTTTTCTGATGGAAGAAGCTCCACTCAGATCACTGGAAGTGAGTCCAAGTCTCTTGTTGGTAAACAGCTGTTTTAGAGCTTTGTTGGTCAAGGGCACCTCGGCTCTAGATGTTGCCGACCCACATTTGCGTGCCTGGTGACCTTTGGACCAAACACCCACTAACCATATCTGCATGCCAACGCATTACACGCTGACACCAGCAAGTGGTGCTGATCTCCCTCTGTTTCCATCGCAGTCAGCATGCCTTATGATTCTATTATCAGCTGGATTCTGTTTGTTTTTATGTGAAACCAGGTCTCACCGGAGGGAGTGAGAGTTGTGTGTTGGAGACGAGTGCCGGGAAGAGTCTCATATGTTGGCGTACATAAAAAGTGTTGTGATATTTAGAACATTTTCAACGTCTTACATGATTATTTTGCCTCTCGTTTTTAGAATGAGACTTCTCCACTTTTTCAGCAGACTTTGCTACACAAAGTGACGAGCCCACTGGACCACGATGACGGTGCACGATTGCCAGAATGTTATAACATCCCAGCCCGCTGCGGGGCTGCCATCTGCTGCGTCGCCCGTCAATACAGAACTATTTTTAAAAGTTCCAATCAGCCATCCACAAAAACATGGGAAGAAATGTTATGTTCATTGGGACAACCAAGCCTATTGATCAGCAATTTTGTCATACTTACAAAGGGAATGTCTTTACTCATTGTTGGTGGCAATCTATCTTCTTCTTTACATGTAACTTATATAAGATAACTCTACTTATGCGGAATGCACCATCTGAACTCCCATAATATATAATATATAATATAATATAAATCCCATCACATGTATTATATTTCTGGCTATCTGTGGCGTCGTCCTGAGCTCAGCAGTTCACTCTCTGCCATGGAGAGAGAAAAGAGAGCAGCTCATCCCAAGAAGGGACCTCAGCCTGGAGGTCTTGGCGAATGGAGGAGGAGAAGGAGGAGGAGGAGGAGGAGGAGGATTGACAGTAAGGATAGCTCATTAATCGGGGCATAGGCTTAAGCCACATGGCCGATCCTAGCACTTGGAAACTACGCAGGGGGGGGTCTTGCCGAGAAAAGAAGTGTGATTCATAATAACGCCTCTCACACGCGAGAGTCATGACGCAGACACCCTCTGAGATTACTTTAGCGTTGCTGTCCTACTCGCCAGGATTGTTTTTTCCCTACAAAAGATGTAAAAAATAATTATTGTTCATTGAAGTGGGCAATAAAGCTAAATGTTTTTTATGTTTTAGTTTTATTTTAAAAAGATTAAATGGTTTGATTGAAACCAGATTTCAATCATTTTCTTTGATATATTTTTTTAAATGTTGTGTTACATCAATGTCATTGATATTCGTCTGCTGAAGAACACTCTAAAAGGAAAACAAAAAAAAAAACCTACAATTAACCTGCTTAGTTGTTTTTTTCTTCGGTACAGTCACTACAGCAACTGAATGACAAAGCAGGGGTCTAATGTGCGGCGTAAGCGGCACTGCGGCTCTGACGCTCCTTGGTATCCACTGTGATGTTTGGGGGTTTTAAATAATGAAGTTTACTCTGCTAGTGCACTTTGTGAAAGTGTCAACTGAAAGCCCATAATCAAATAAAACCCAGCCAATTAGTCCGAAGCACAAGCATCAGCATCAATGCGATGGCGGCTTGTGTTATTTACTCACCCTGTGTGCGTGGGGAAGGACATGCTGCGTCTTCCTGTGTGTGTGTGTGTGTGTGTGTGTGTGTGTGTGTGTGTGTGTGTGTGTGTGTGTGTGTGTGTGTGTGTGTGTGTGTCATGGCTGCATGCCAGCACGTGAGACACAAACAGCATGGCCTTATCTTAGTTGTGACCGTCCGCATTTTAAATCTCAGAGTATAACGTGAGTCATAGTGAGCGTGTGTGTGTGTGTTTGTGGGTGTCAGTTCAGTCAGTGACGAGAGAAACAGATATGGACTCATGTACCACGTCTTTGTGACTGTGTGTAATATGTGTGTGCTTTGTTTGCTTTCGAGCCTCTTTAGACTCCACTGGTTCTTATTTCCACGTTCGCAAGATAACACATAACAGAACAATGGGTAAGAAATGATGGCAGGCGAGCCACACCATCCGATATCAAATACTGAGAAAAATGGTAAACCCTTTGCCCACCCAGTGAATGGCGCTGTCCAAAAGGAGGCTGACCTTTAAAACATAGAGAGGTCTCACTAACTTTGTGGGGGTCTCTGAAGAACGTATATTTATATATTAATGTGATCATGCTAACCCGGTGAAGCTGATATCTGTTCATTTTTATAACTGTTACTAGTCCCATTGACCCAGTCTTTCTGAGGTAAAGTATTGTGGAGCCCAAGCCAAGTCATATCAAGAGTTTCTTTTGAGCAAAATGAATTCCCTCTCACTAGCAGTGACGCAGTGATCATGTCAAAGGCTTTTATGTGAAAGGAAGGATTGTAAGGGCTGGATCCAGTGTGTGCTGCCATTGTTATGTTTGAAAGGAGTAATAAAGGTTGTTGTTGACTCCAGAGCCTCGGTGCTGTTCATCACTGTTGTGTATGTTTTGTATGTGTTGTATGTGTGTTGTATGTTCCACACGTCTTGTGGAAATCTTGAGAAGTTGCTGTTCAATCTCTGTGAAAGAAACGTCTCAGGAACGCCTTTGGGGAATTTATTCCAATATGGCACAAATATCCACTTTGACTCAAGGATCAGTTGAATCTGGAATTCATGTGCATTATAGACAATTAAACTTTAAATGGTATAAATGTCATATTTAATTACTATATAATATATAAATCCAATAAATTGAGCTCATTTGTTGTCCAATATATAATACAAACGGTAAGCTATTCAGTTGCACTCTAGGTGTCCTGCCATGTTTTAAATGACCACTAGTTTCCACAACATTTCTTAAATTGTTAATCCACAGCTTATGTTCCCTCATACATCCTCTGTGTTT